CCCAAACTACTCTTCTCTAATCTGAATCCCTGGACAGTAATATTTGTTAGCGGTGACTTGTATCGAAAATTAGTGTTTGTTCCGTTGGTCTTTTTCCGTACGATATAGATCCGGATCCTCTCAGGATCAGCCGTCGTTGACTTGGCCGTTCAGCTCTTTGATTGATGACCATTTCTGAGACCCAACATAGGAACAACACATTTAGTGCTGACTCGGCGTAAATCAGTGCGACAACAGCGTGAGGAGTCGTTCACAGCTGACGTCAAAGGAACAGTTTCATTTGCGGCGTTTGAGGAAACACGCCGTGACAAAAACGTCTCCCGTCAGTGGTGTCAGTTTGAAAGAGCTCAGTTAGTAGATTATTGTATTAGCAGCTAAAGTGCCGCGATTTCAGATTGTGTTGAAGTTCATTGAAATGAATCATTCTGAGCTGTCACTCGGACAGACAAGTCATCAGGAAAGGTACCAGACCTTTGAGCACAGGCCTTATTTTGATCAGAGCCTTTGTGATGGACATCATTAAGCTTAGGGAGCTGACTGACATGTGACTTTGCTTCTTTGTCCCTTGGCCTCATCTCAAATCTAATAGCTCTAGTCGTTGCTGTTTTGGCCCAAAGGCTGAAGACACAATTTTATTTAAGAGAAAAGGCCAGAGTTCTTGAGAGACTCCATTTAACCTTTGGGAGATGGATAAGAAAGCTAGTCAATCGATTTGCCTTGCTCTGTGTTTAAAGGCTGAAAGAAACAATTCTTTATAAACATCCAAGCTTTTTTTTTTGTTTTTTTCTTTTTCAAAACACACACCTAACCTCAAAGGCATCGGTGGGGGCATGAAAACATTTATGTTTTTGACCTGTGCTCATCTTCAAAAGTAGAATTCTTCTCTGTGTTGTTGATGGAGCTGGAGCCAATCCCAGCTGTCATCAGAAGAGGGCAGACTAGGGTTCATAATCAATCCTAACATTCACACCTGTGCTCATTCAGCAAAGTGTGATTCATCCAATCCTGCATTTACTTATTTTGTACTTTGGGAAGAAACCTTTGCACCTGAGCAAAACCTGTACACAAATGGACTTTGAGAGCATAGTACCAGTAAACTAGTATTGCCGTAAGGCAGGAGCACTAACCACTCTTCCACCATGTGAACTGTTTAAAAGACAAGGACGAAATCGAGATTCGATTTGACTGCTGGAAAATAACAGATTTGTTTCAGCGTCACATGACATCAGATGCTGCTGCCGTGGCCGATCCCCTCTTAACCTGTGCTTCAGCTCGTCACAGTGCTAACCACCGCGTCATCTGAAGGTCATGTGTTCTTAATCGGGAGTCTAGTCCAGCCCTTTATTATTATCTTTTAACTTTGTTTTCAACTCCAGTTAGGGTCGAAGCCAGCGGAAGAGTGGGAGCTGTCACTGAGACTCACTGCAGATATAATGCTATTTAAATGCTAATGTGTTAAGAGGAGCAAGACGACCTTTAGCCATACTCTGCACCAAGGCAGAGCCGCGAACCCCCCCCCCCCCCCCCACTAAGGAAGACCCGCGACCCCCCCCCCCGACCCACCCTCCAAAAAAAAAACAAAAAAACAGATGGACTTAAATGAGCCAAAGTCTTTGACTTTGTTTCCCTTCGTTTCTCTCTTCGTGTCAAATATAAAGAATGTTTGTCACAGCTCTGCCCACATGGCCAGTTTGTTCGTACATTATAGAGCTCAATATTAATTTAAACTTTTTACAGTAAGTCAGACATGAATGTTCTAATGTTACTAAGGTTAATTTTTCTCATATGTCATAACCTCTTGAGGACACTTGAACCCATTATTTGACCAATGCAGATTATCCTTGATGATGTATGTAGATCAGTGTTTTTCAACCTTGGGGTTGTGACCCCACCTGGGGTCATCTGGTATTTAGTAATTGAAAAAAAAATTGATTTTAACATGTTTTATTTTATATATATATTATTCTTATTAAAATTATTTAAAAACACAGACAATCTTAAACAACTGTTTTCTTTTACTTTCACGAATATAATTCAAGTTCAAATAAAATGCAGCGTTGATTGACGGCTGCGATCATGTGACTGCACAAGTGACTTCTTGAGGTCCTTTAAGCTTCACTGTATCAATGCAGTCTAATAAATATGATCAAAAACTAATGCAATTCAGTCTAATAAATATGATCAAAAACTAATTCTAGAAAAATAAAATTCTCTGGGGTCAAAATGGGTTGTTAACCACTGCCTTGGGTTGAAGTGAACGTTAATGAATACGTTACCTAATATTAGAGACGCACCGATCGACTGGTCAGTTATCGGAAGATCTGGTGACCAAGCAGATTTGTTATCAAATCTATGGCAGATGACGCAGAACGCCGTAGGTAGAAGACATCATAAACCGATCAAATGTTTGGGGTTTTTTTATTAGTTTTTAAAGTTTTTTTTTTTTTAGCCAAGTTTCAATCAGCCGCAGTGAAGTGGAAGACGACAGATAGAGGATGGAGGAATCCTGACATTTGTCATCTAATCACATAAGCTGCCATAACTCTGCTGGCAGATCATTTATTTCCTGCACTTCCTTCAGATAGCTGAAGAAGTCGTACGTCACGGTGACACAACTGTAAAAACATTGGAGAAATTAGCATCACCCGTACATTGGAGTGGATCATCAGCGTAAAGGAATATACACTACACTATACATTAGTGGAGTGGATCATCAGCGTAAAGGAATATAGAGCTGTGTGTTATAGAAGTGTTGTATCCTTTTTCCTGATGCATTTTTATTGCGGGGGCTCAGATTAATTTTGCATCAGGCTGCCAAGAAGACGTCCTGATGTAGGACTGGGGAACATCAAGATTTTTGTTTTCATCTCGACAGATGGAGGGCAACGGCAACAGCAACTGAGCAGCATGGCAGCACCTCAGGCGTCGTCTTCTCAGAACTTCGTAATAAACAGTTGGAAAGAAGTTTTTAATTTGAGAGATGAAAATGGAAGCTTCCAGTCAGTGTGCACTGATGTGACCGTAAACTATTCCTATAGTGTTTTATCTGCGATGTCAAAACTTTTTCAAAACAAAAATGTATGAGAAAAAGTCTTTAATGTCGGACTTCCTGTGTTGGCAGTGACAGCAAAAAACAGACTTTTAAAAAAGCACAAACCTCTACTTCTTTTTTGTTTGTTTTTTTTACTTTGTGGTTTGGTTTTTATCTGCTCATACTGCAGTGCATTTGTTAGCTTGATGTCGTACAATGACCGAGGACATGCTGGGCATTACTAAAAGTTCCGAAACGAAGCCAACTTCAGCAGAGATTGCCCATTTAATCAAGCATGCTCAACTCTTCTGCTGCTGTTACTCAAATATACGTCGTACCGTGAACCTGCTCACTGTCCAAGTTCACATTCATATCCATTCATCACACGTGGATTAACTCTGGCTTCTAGTCCATGTCAGGTGTGGTTAAAGACCGGGGTTCAGGAAGCTGGCTGACAAATGAAACTGCAGAGTGAAGTGACATCTTTACCTAAAAAAGGAGGGGAAAAAACCCTTCTACACAAACAATATCCTTAAAGGACCTCACATAAATCCAGGACTATAAGACCTCCACTGAACTATATATCATAAAAGCTCTCCTTCACTTGATGGGGTCACAGTGGGAGTAAAAGTGCAGCAGTTTTATGAGGCGAATCATTGGCTGGCGACTCGACTTTAATACCATTAGTCTTTGTTTGCCTCATTCTTTTTTTTTTTTTTTTCTCCTCTGGTTTTTGTTACTTTTTCACAAACCGGTTTTCAAACCTTTGCTATAAATAAAACATTTTCTCTTTTGAATGGAGAACACCAAGTTTTTACTATAAATTTAAAATGTATGCCTTTCCTGAAGTACACCCCCATGCACCCCCAGCCCCCCCTAGGGTTAACGGATGAAAATTTGATCCCATGAACTTCTGACCTTAATGTTCACTGTCATTTTTTATGTGATTAATTAAGAAGTATCCAAATTTAGAAAGCAATGGCATGTGGAAGAAGTGAAATCTAAATAGGTCAAATCATTAACTTTCTGGAATCGTATAAAAGGAGAATCAAGAAATCGCTCTGTCTCTGCGTGCAAGGGTTTCTAAAGAGAAAAGTTATGGTTTATAAAAAAAAAAACTTGAAAAAAAGTGATCTACCCACATTGATAACACTTTGTATATACGTGATATGTTGATCAAATGCATGTGGCAGGATGGAACACGATGATTAGCCTAACAAAACTTTAATCCAAAAAAAAAAAATTATATTTTTGATTTTCACTTTAATTGCTCATGATCTACCTGAACCCGTTATGGGATCTACTGGTAGATCCCGATCTACTTATTGGGCACCTATGGACTAAAATCGATGTATGTATCTTAAACTGAAGTTTGGATGATCTTAGCTAATGCTATCTGTTAGTAACTGCTATCATTCTAAGCACACCAAAACTTTTGTAATCGTAGAATGCAAAGAGTGGTGTTGAAAAAACGTTGATGTCTGGTCTTGATAACTTATCTGGCAGAAATAGGTGTTAATCTAAAACTACATGGCAACAGAAGCAGGGGGTGGGGCGGGGGGTGGGGGTTGTTTGATTGTCTCCCAAGGACATCTATCTGGCCATAAGGCTCATAGCACTCTGCTCAGGTTTTTGATGGATGACACCGGCACCACAGAGTGATAGGCTATTACTTCACTTTGCATCGGATAAATGGCAATGCAGGCTCCTACCTGTCGCCTGTCCTTCTTTTTCGTTTCCTTGTCTCTCCTGCAATATGTCATCACAGACCAGAAATAGAGAAAGTTGCCGGTTTTAGTTTGTGCCGTCTTGAGATTTTCATTTTCAGCATGTGTCCAGTTTTTCAGGGATGTTGTAGAAATGGTCGTATAATGGAGAAGAGTTTTCACCCCTCGTCATTATCCTCAATGCTGGAAAATTGCTTCTCTCTCGGGGTGTGAACTGATGTTGGTCTTTTCCTTGTTTTCAGACCAGCAGTATTCATGGTCGCCCCCACAGTACTTCGATGAGGACAGCTACTCTCCTCCACCCAGGAACATGAAGGGTCTCTCCGGCGGCCGCCCCACCCAGCTCCAACTCACCTCTCCCACCTCAGCTCATGCCTGTGTGCTGGCTGAATGTGACCACTCCCTGGACCACCACCTTCATCACGGCGATGTAAGGTCACCGTCCTACCTTCTCAGCCCCACTGAGTCCTGCCCTCTTGACAGTCACCGCCGCTGTTCCCCACGGAGCTCCATCCACTCCGAGTGCATGGTGATGCCGGTGTCCATGTCAGCCACGGACCACTCCATCTCCAGTAGCACTTTCCCCCGCATGCACTATGGCAACGTGTCACGGGAAAGCGGTGGTAACGCATCGAGTGGCAGGGACTCCAGAGATGACGGCGGCTCGTCTTCACACGGCGGCAGTGGCAAAATGAATCGAATCCCCGCAAACCTCTTGGACCAATTTGAAAAGCAGATGCCCTTGCACCGGGATGGCTTCCATACGTTACAATACCAACGCACTTCTACCACGACAACCACCACGGAGCAGCGCAACGAAAGCCCGGGGCGCATACGGCACTTAGTTCATTCTGTACAAAAGCTTTTTACAAAGTCGCACTCCCTGGAAGGATCCTCCAAGATGAACGGTACTAAGAACGACTCGCACAGGGACGGCTCGCATCACCACCACCACCACCACCAGGGCCACCACAAACACAGCAAACGCAGCAAAAGCAAAGACCGCAAATCCGATGGCAAGCATCGCTCCGGAGGCTGGTGGAGCTCGGATGATAACCTAGACAGTGACAGTACCTACAGAACGCCAAGCATAATGTCACGCCATCCAGTGGACCACATCAGCCACTGCTACCCTGACTCCATGCACAGTCACCTGGCAGGAGATCTGTCCCTAAAGACTTCCAAGAGCAACAACGACGTCAAGTGTTCAGCCTGTGAAAGCATCAGCATGGCACCGGAGGGCAAATTCATGAAGAGGAGCTCCTGGTCAACGCTAACGGTCAGCCAAGCCAAGGAGGCCTACAGGAAGTCCTCACTCAACCTGGAGAAGCCAATGACACCCACGGACCTCAAGCCAAACCTCAGGCCCTGTCACTATCTACAGGTTAGTTGGGTTTTTAATTTGTTGCCCTGAATGGAGAGCAGAAATCGCAGGCTAGCTCAGGAACCTTCTCACGCAGGGTTTGTCTGCGTAGGTTCTCAGTCGTCCAGGTCATTTTACCAACTGACATGGTTGGTTTCCAGAAGACCTTACATTAGTGATGGGAGAAAAGATTTTGTGGTATCGATATGTCGATACTCACATGAGTATCAATGAGTATCGATTACTTTCATAAAGTATCAATACTCATACTCAAAAAGAAACAGGTATTACTTTGACTTCTAATAGAGTATCTTACTATCATTTTTGTCCCTGAATGGCAGCCATTAAACTATTTAGGTTACATTGTGTGAAAAAAAAAAAATGTTTATTACTATGTTATAAAAAATACTTATGTAGTATTTTCCTAAAGTTTTGGGATCACTACCTTACATCGCTCATCCAACAGGCTGAAATCTGTGGGCAGTGGTGTTTAAGGAAGCAAACATGGGTCTGAAAGGTTTCTGACTTTGGTGATGGGTAAAATGCAGAGGTCACCTTTGGTTGTGTGTGCAGCGGTTCACTTTCTTCTTCTTTCTTAACTCCACTGAGGTACCTTTGATCCTGTTGATTTAGCCTCCTTCCTTAACTCCACTGAGGTACAGTACCTTTGATCCTGTTGATTTAGCCTCTTAGATGAGAGGTGAGAAGCCGAGCACATCCAGTTGCCTCGTTCCTTCCAAAATGAAATAAAATGAAAGTGAATTATTTGTTACGGTGACACACCACTTCACTGCACCACTGCGCACACAACCAAACGTGACCTCGGCTTTTAACCCATTACCAAAGCCAGCAGGGGGCAGGTTATAAGCGCCCGGGGAGCAGTGTGTAGGGACGGTGCCTTGCTCAGAGCACCTCAGTGGTAACTTGGCAGCTGGTGGACTCGAACCTCAAGCCTTCTAGGACCCAAAGTCCGCTTCCTCACCTTTTTTAGTAAACGTTTTAGTCGCTTTGTCAGTGTTGATCATACTGTCACAAAAAAAGTAAAACGATTCCCTCAGGTCTTTCAACTTCAGCTAAATAAATGTTCCTGGGAATAACACAAAAAAAAGTTTTTAGTACAGTATTCAGAAGCAGATTGACTTCCCTGTGGCTAGCTAAAATCCTTTGAAGTTTGAAGATTGATAGATGCTTCAAAATCGTGGGCTGGTTATCTAACGGTGACAGACTAATGGCGCTGAAATCTTCATTTCACGTCTGGGTTCTTACAATGATCGAGTGTCCGTTCGCTTTGAGGAATAATTGCGTAAGAACATAGGAAGCACACTCTCTTTAAAAGGAAACATTGATTAATGGACAGAAAGAGAGAGGAAGAAAAAAAAAAAAAAACGAAGAGAGAGGAAGAAAAAAAAGAAAAAGCTCCTCATCACAACTGAACGTCTAATTGATCTGAACAAAACCTGTTTTGTTTGACGCCGTGCGTCTCAACATGAACCCATCCCGAGGCTCAGCGTGTCGTTTCCAGCAGAAAGACCTGTCACAGCGGGGTGAATCAATTCACTCCACATGGAAAATGACCTGCACTGGGGGGAAGACTCAGCAGTGTGAGAATAAAGGGCTGAGGATCAATGATGATTTTCCATGTTATTTGCTTTGATTTCACATAGATTTTTAGCTCCATAAATACTTAGCATCGTAGTGAAAGCCTGTGTTTGGCTCCGGCGTCTGAGCCCACGGCTCCACGGGGACCGATGCAAAATGAGTCAGCCAGATTCGCTCTCGCTCTCCGAGGATTTTTGGTACAGAAGCTCAATGATATACTGTGTGGAAACCAAAACCTGCGTGGTAATTGGAGTTGGGAAATCCAGGTGGCAGTGTGCACACGTAATCATCAAATAATATGAACAAGAATTTTTTTTTTCTCCAAATCACCCAGTTTTGGTGATAGATTTGGAAAAGATTTTATAGCGACTGCTCTCCCGACGCAACCCCAAGCTGGGGGGCTTTGGGACAGGTTGGCATTGGAACTGAAGCCTCCTGGTGGCAGGTAGGGGACTTACCACTGGACCACTCTATTCCCCTCTAAAACATGGTTTTTTTTTAGATATATCACATTTTACTAATATTTTGTAGAGACTGATCATTCATTAAAAGATAAAGTTGGTTTTACAGCATTTTTTTTTTCTTCTAACAACTTTCCTGAGTGCGTTCACTTTGTGATGTAGTCACGGTGTTTCGTTGCCTCCACCCTTTCTTTTTTTTTCTTAACTCCACTTGGTCATTCAGCTGAGGTTGTAGCCAAGTCATTGCACTATAAACATTCTAAAAATACCCTCCCTCCTTTGCCTTCTGCTGCAGGGCTATATTTAGTGCAGCGTTATCAATCCAATCCATGCGGGTTGACACAGCTTCCCTCCACAGAGAGGAATCGATGCCCTCTCAGAGCGCTCCCAGATGTATTGGAGGGGAGAGAGAGAGAGAGAGAGAGAGAGAGAGAGAGGCAGGGCGGAGAGGTGAGAAGCCGAGCACATCCAGTTGCCTCGTTCCTTCCAAAATGAAATAAAATGAAAGTGAATTATTTGTTACGGTGACACACCACTTCACTGCACCACTGCGCACACAACCAAACGTGACCTCGGCTTTTAACCCATTACCAAAGCCAGCAGGGGGCAGGTTATAAGCGCCCGGGGAGCAGTGTGTAGGGACGGTGCCTTGCTCAGAGCACCTCAGTGGTAACTTGGCAGCTGGTGGACTCGAACCTCAAGCCTTCTAGGACCCAAAGTCCGCTTCCTCACCTTTTTTAGTAAACGTTTTAGTCGCTTTGTCAGTGTTGATCATACTGTCACAAAAAAAGTAAAACGATTCCCTCAGGTCTTTCAACTTCAGCTAAATAAATGTTCCTGGGAATAACACAAAAAAAAGTTTTTAGTACAGTATTCAGAAGCAGATTGACTTCCCTGTGGCTAGCTAAAATCCTTTGAAGTTTGAAGATTGATAGATGCTTCAAAATCGTGGGCTGGTTATCTAACGGTGACAGACTAATGGCGCTGAAATCTTCATTTCACGTCTGGGTTCTTACAATGATCGAGTGTCCGTTCGCTTTGAGGAATAATTGCGTAAGAACATAGGAAGCACACTCTCTTTAAAAGGAAACATTGATTAATGGACACGAAGAGAGAGGAAGAAAAAAAAGAAAAAGCTCCTCATCACAACTGAACGTCTAATTGATCTGAACAAAACCTGTTTTGTTTGACGCCGTGCGTCTCAACATGAACCCATCCCGAGGCTCAGCGTGTCGTTTCCAGCAGAAAGACCTGTCACAGCGGGGTGAATCAATTCACTCCACATGGAAAATGACCTGCACTGGGGGGAAGACTCAGCAGTGTGAGAATAAAGGGCTGAGGATCAATGATGATTTTCCATGTTATTTGCTTTGATTTCACATAGATTTTTAGCTCCATAAATACTTAGCATCGTAGTGAAAGCCTGTGTTTGGCTCCGGCGTCTGAGCCCACGGCTCCACGGGGACCGATGCAAAATGAGTCAGCCAGATTCGCTCTCGCTCTCCGAGGATTTTTGGTACAGAAGCTCAATGATATACTGTGTGGAAACCAAAACCTGCGTGGTAATTGGAGTTGGGAAATCCAGGTGGCAGTGTGCACACGTAATCATCAAATAATATGAACAAGAATTTTTTTTTTCTCCAAATCACCCAGTTTTGGTGATAGATTTGGAAAAGATTTTATAGCGACTGCTCTCCCGACGCAACCCCAAGCTGGGGGGCTTTGGGACAGGTTGGCATTGGAACTGAAGCCTCCTGGTGGCAGGTAGGGGACTTACCACTGGACCACTCTATTCCCCTCTAAAACATGGTTTTTTTTTAGATATATCACATTTTACTAATATTTTGTAGAGACTGATCATTCATTAAAAGATAAAGTTGGTTTTACAGCATTTTTTTTTTCTTCTAACAACTTTCCTGAGTGCGTTCACTTTGTGATGTAGTCACGGTGTTTCGTTGCCTCCACCCTTTCTATTTTTTTTCTTAACTCCACTTGGTCATTCAGCTGAGGTTGTAGCCAAGTCATTGCACTATAAACATTCTAAAAATACCCTCCCTCCTTTGCCTTCTGCTGCAGGGCTATATTTAGTGCAGCGTTATCAATCCAATCCATGCGGGTTGACACAGCTTCCCTCCACAGAGAGGAATCGATGCCCTCTCAGAGCGCTCCCAGATGTATTGGAGGGGAGAGAGAGAGAGAGAGAGAGAGAGAGAGAGAGGCAGGGCGGGTTTCAGACGCATCCGACTGAGGCCTGCCCCTCTGTGGATGAACTGTGATCTCCCAGGAAGTGGAGTGGGGAAACAGCCGGAATGAGATGGCTATTTCTGCTCCCCCATGGCTACTGTTGTTTCTCATCAGCAGAGGCAGTCAGGCAGAGAGATCGAGCAAATAGTCAGGCACGGGGGCTCACGCCGAGGGGTCACATGGAGGCACTTCAGTCTCTGGCTACGGCTGGTTTGGATTGTCTGGACTGGACTGACTGTGTGTCCAGAAGGTATTGTAGTATTCATTGTGTACATCCGGGGTCCCCAACCCCAAGGTCACGGACCGGTCCCTGCCCTTAGGTCATTTGTTACTGGAGCACAATGAAAAATGTACTTCATTTTTACTAATATACTTGATTCAAATAGAATCCATTTGGTTTCCTCATTCAAATATAATCTGGCAACATTTTTTAAAAAAGTGTGTGAAGTGTCACGTAACTAAACACACATTTTTGCCTTTAATTAATATAAATGCATCACCTATTTCACAGATGTGTGTGTGTATGTGTGTGTGTGTGTGTCAACAGGTTGTTGGCAAAGTTAATATTTTTAAGTTCTCCTTCACATCAAGATGACAAACATGAGGCCATGAGACCTGGCTTCACACACTTTGGTTCTGACTCAGTCATTTCACAAATTAGGACCCATTAGCACTGAAACTCACTGAGCGACCTTCTTTTGTCAGGCCAGGAGACAT